TTTTTTTTTTTTATAACATTCTAAAATAATATCGATTGTAATATTTTCCCAACTATTAAATAGATGATTTCTGATAATGATTATCAGAGATATGTAAACATTGCAACTAATAAGGGGGTGATCCGTAGTCCTTCTTCTGAAAAGAGCCGTTCTCAAAGCCTACATTTCTTGTTATGTTGAATTTGTGAAATATATTAATAAGAAAATTTTCGTGTTTAATTTCTATATTAACCCTCTCTTGTAAATGAATTTACACTTGATATAAACAATCAATTTAAGTTACTAACAAAATAAACAATAATGAACAACAGTATAGAACCATTACAATATTATGAACACACATACATCACAGTATCAGAATTTAACAACAACAAGATATTAACATGTTTAATAATTTCATAATTAAAAATAAGTTTAAAAGTAAAAGTTCTGAGGATTATAATAAAGACAACAAATTTTTTATAGAAAATTATTTTATAAGATATTAATGAGTTTAAACAAATTTTATANTTAAGATATTATTGAGTTTAAACAAATTTTATAATTTTGGTTTTTAAAAAAGTAACAACAGCTAAATGTACGGACAATTTAACATTAGTAATCTTTTTAATATTTAACAGAAATAGTAAATTACTGTGCTTCAATTATTACATAACAAATATTGCCGAAAAATTCATTTTTTCCCATTATTTCATAGCCTGTCAAATAAGAATAAAACTATATTTTTTAATGTTTACACATTGTTAGTTATGATTTTGGATTTTTTTTTTATTTGAGTTATAAAATATATACAATATTAGTACAATAAGTATAAAAGATGATTATGATTTTTTGACTTGATTATTTTGAAAAAAGAAGCTGCCCATTGACAACACTCTTTTAAAATGATATTCTTTAGTAGTTAGGTTATTATTAATATAATTTATTTATTTTTTTAAATGTTTTAATTATTTTTTAATTAAGAAGGTTTCTGCACCATTTCCTTTTTAATATTTTAGGAGGATTGCCAGGCATTGTGGGTAAAGTAAGATCCTTTACTAAAGAATTAGGATGATTAAGAAGGAATTGGTGGTATCGAGTGTAGTGTTCCTTGGTATCTGTGCATTTGTGACTATTAGAAGTATCTTATTCTGTATAGTTAAAATTTTTTTTATGTTCGTTTATTTTTTGCTGATGCCCACATTTGAATTCTATATGTCCATAGAGGTTTAAGTAGCATTTTGTATGAAGTGAAAGTATTGATTTACAGTGTAGAAAACGTGTGATTATAAAGAAGCGTGCGTTTAGTTTGATTTTAGTAGAGTTTATATGATGTGACCAGATTTTTATTAAGGTGTATACCAAGGTATTTTGTAGTAGTTGAGGTTGGTATTTGAATATCATTTAAGTAAACTTGTAGACAGAGTTCTTTTCTAAGTGTAAAAGTAGTATAACAAGATTTATTTTAATTCTTCAGTCATGATACCGGATAGAAGGTCTTTAAGATGGGATTGTAAATTAACTGAAGCCATCTGAAGATTTTCATTAACAGAAATGATAGCTTTGTCATCGGCATAATCTGATACAATTATATTAGGATTATTTGGTTGTTCAGCTGTAAATATGTTAAAATAGTAGGGGTGCAGGGTACCTTGGGGTACTCCTGCCATTATAATAGATTTCATTGAAAGAACTGAGCGGCAGGGTATTGAAAAATGATGTTTTATGAGATAAGATTTAAAAAATAAGTAGTATGAAGGTGGTAAGAGTAGCTTCAATTTAAAAAGAAAACCGTCATGCCAAACTCGGTTGAAAGCTTGAGCAACATCCAGGAATACGGCAGAACAGTACTGTTTCTAGTGTCAGTTAAGCGGTTAATTTGTTGAATAGTTGAGTGTTTGCTACGAAAACCAAATTATTTGTCGGGTATAGTATTTTTTTAAGTTATTATAGAATTTATTCTCCTAAGCACTAATTTTTCAAGTACTTTGGAGAAAAAAAGGAGGATACTGATAGGTCTGTAGGATGAGGGAATTTCTGGAGGTTTACCAGGTTTAAATATTATTATTATCGACGATTTCCATTGGGGAATATGATAAGCGAATAATAGAATTGAATATATGTGTTAATAGTAGTAGTGTTTTTTTGGAAGACGTTTTGTTATCTCACTGATAATTTGGTCAAAACCAGGGGATTTTTTTTGGTGGGTAAACTAGATATGCAATGCATAGTTTCTGCTGGAGTCAATGATTTAGGTGGGAGCGTCATTTGAAACGGACAATTAAGAAAGTTTTCTACTTTTTTTGAAAGTTTAGTATTAATTATGGTTTCATGTGGTTTGAAAAATATTTTTGGAATATTTCTACCTTTTCTTGATCATTCACTGCCCAGGATTTGTCTTCGTTCTTAAAAGGGAGAAAAGAGAGTTTATCTTTTGTGACCTGTTTAGTAGCTTTCCATAATGAACCATTTTGTATGGAAAAAGATGCTATATAATTTGAATAAGACTTACTTCTAAATTTTGCAAGTAATCTTTTTAGGTGTATTGTAAGGATGTTTAGTATTTTATTATCGGAAGGGTAGCGAGTGCCATTGATATCTGGCTCATTGTTTTTGAGCTATTAATGTACAAATGTTAGTCGGAAGATAATTGAGAAAAGAGGATTTGTTATTACAGGGAGGAGTAGCAGAAATGGTAGCAGTTTGTATCGACTATGTTGAGTTTTTTATGGCATCATCTATATTTTGAAGAGTTTTTAGTTTAATATTTAAATATGTGTTATCAGTTAGTATCTTTCGAAATTTTTCCCAGTTTGTTGCTTTATTTATTAGTGGAGGGTTACTGAATCGAATAGGAGGCGTTGTGTTAATTGTAACAGAGGAGTAGTCTGAGCACAATTATTAAAGTTTTTAATTTGGCAAAAGATGTTATTTGGAATTTTAGTTATAAAAATGTCAAGGATGTCAGGACGTTTTGATGGTGAATTCGGTCAGTAGGTGGGATCTAAAGGAGAGAGTATTTTATAGTGTGCTGAGGAAATAAGTTAAAGGAAATTATTACCCTGTGGGTTGTTTGTTCAACATCCCCAGTTAGTGTGTTTATCATTAATGTGACCGCCAACTATAAAGTTTCGGCCTAGTGTGTTAAAGTAGCATTTAAATTGTTCAATTGTTATTGTGTGTTTTGGTGAATAGTATGCAGCTGCTATTGTTATTGGGGTGTGATTTAAAATTGTTTTTATTGCGCAAGATTGTAAATAATCTTCATTTATTTTAGGTAAACAGTAGTATTCTAAATGTGTTCTAATAAGTATTACAGAACCGGCATGTGCAGTGTTATTAGAATTATTAGAGTTAATTAAATTATAACTAGGAATATTTAATCGTGAACGTATAGTAAGGTGGCATTCAGATATAAGGGCAATGTCCACTCTTTTTAACACGCTTATATTAGTTTCACGTGTATGTTGTTTGTCGTTTGTTTGTTGTTTGTAAGTTTGTAACTCCACGCGGCACGTGTTATTATGTCGCGTATCCCGTCGTGTATGACCTTGAGACTATACTGTTGTAACGCATTCGCCCCACCCCGCTCACCACTCGTAGACAGCAATATTTTCTAACCCGTAGACGCGCGCTTATCATCAATTATATATATATATATATATAACAAATTTTTATTGTAATTGACACAGCCCCGCGTCGTTTCGTTATACACAATGCCCCACCACTCGTGCCACCTTTATCAGCCGTCGCCCTATTATGAGTATTTGACTGACCAACACCTCGTGTTATACGCCGCGGTGCAAAGTCTAGCAAGCGCCGCACGGCCGACGACGTCCCGCCGTTAATGATACCGTAGTCTTCTTCTCGTTGTCAAAGTGACGTCAACAAACCGATCCGCACTCGCGCACTGTTGTCATCTACACCAGAGTTTCTCAAAGTATGGTCCGCGGACCCCCAGGGGTCCGCGAGCACATATCAGGGTTAGGTCTTTAAAACTGTAGGTCTTTAGATGGGGGTCCGTGATTCATTTGACTTTGAGAACCTCTGATCTACACTGCTAACCTTTCGACGTCCGAAGATCACGCCGGACATCGCGTCGTCGACGCCAGCAAAAGTGCGGCGATATTATGCGAAGATCATTATATTCCTACCGCCACCGCTAATATTAATATATATATATATATTAATATTTATACGTATATACGTATATGTTAATATTCATTTATATATTTCTACAGCCGACGCCTCTACTGCCGTATATGCCTCGTGTATAATGTTCCCTCCGCCATGCCCGCCCACATAAACACGGCTATACCTCATGCATGATACGTTTACGTACTTAAGTCCCTTTACATGTATATACATTCTAATTACTATTAAAACTTATATATTAATACGCTTTATTCTCATTAAGAGATATGTGGTGTATTCATTCCGATTACGGGGGATGATTCCCGTATCATTTTTCGTCACTAGCCGTTTCTCAGACTCTCTCCCCGGAATCGAACCCTGTATTCCCGTTACCCGTTACAACCATGATATTGATAGTAACTATTATCATAACATAAAACTAAAAAGTAAAAAATAAATATAGTTTAAAAAAACTAAAAAACACGCTTTTAAAGCACATTGAACTAAAAAGTTCAAAATAATTTTTAAAATAAGCTTAAAACAATATTGAACGAAAAGACTAGAATTATTGTGATAAAAGCGTCGGTGCTTCGTGCCATATTTTTCGTATATTGAGCGCCCGACGCTTTTATCACAATAATTCTAGTCTTTTCGTTCAATATTGTTTTAAGCTTATTTTAAAAATTATTTTGAACTTTTTAGTTCAATGTGCTTTAAAAGCGTGTTTTTTAGTTTTTTTAAACTATATTTATTTCATACAGTACTGCAGTTGGTTCATTTATATGGTTTAGGATTCCATTTGGAATCCAGAGAAGGATAGTAATAGAATTAGATACAAAATTAATTAGTATTTTGGATTATTAATAAGACGTGTAAGTACTGTAGTAAGAAGAGTTATAATTTAAAATATCTAATAACAAAATTTATAATATATTGGAGTGGATAATAACATATTCTGTGCATACCGTACTTCGCGTTGAAAAATGATTTAAAGGATAATGTGATTAATAATTTTTTAAATGTTACTATGTTTGAATAATATCTATGAAGCTCACATAAAATTATGACATTTTTATTTCAAATAATTTAATTAATAATTATATATTTATCATTTTAGATGCCGTTAAATCAGCAGATAGTTTATATAGTAATATACCGATTAATTTGAGAGAAAGATATTTTTCTATTATCAAAGAAAATTTTTGGAATATTCCAGAACTAACATTTTGTAATGAAACTGGAAAAATTACTTATAATTATTCTACCTATGTTATACATGCAATTAAAGAAAAATTATAATAAAAATATATAATAACCATTTAGTACTACTGCACTGTTTTTTTATTGCTACCTAACTTATAATTACTATAAGAATAAAAGAGTTTAATTTTTTTAAACAAACGGAGAAGCATTCTACATATAACAAAAAATTTATGTTTCAACCAAAAATATAAAATTAGAAAATTAAACATTTTTTTTTTAACTGAATCTATGTATTCAGTACAATTAAAAATATTGGACCGGTAAAATATAAAATAAAAATAATTATCTGGACATTATAGAAAATATGTCAAGTTACAACAATTAAATTTTTTGTAATTTGTATGCAAAAGGATTTATCCTGTTCAATAAATTACCGATTAATTTAATTAGGACGATTTTTGTTTTGTACTTCAAAATTGTTTTGACCTTTTAATCTGCTAAAATGTACTTAACTTAGCTTAGGAAATAGTTATCAAATTATAATTAATACACAGAGCAATTAATTTATCATAAACCACTTAATTAGTCGAAAAATAAAAATAATTTTATTCATTTTTCTTTTGGTTTATTTTAGATAGTTTATTTTCCCCAAATTATCAATCATAAGGTATTTTTTATGTTCATACCTTATACCTCATTAGGGAGATTTCATTTTTTCAATATGACAACATACACAATGAATTATCTTATTTATAATAAGATTAAATTACTTAATAAGAACTAATTAAGTGGGCTAGTCCTTAAAATACAATTTTTTAAAATTCGATTTACGTTCATCAAAAGATTTATCTACTACATGTAAAAATAAGCTATCCAAAATTTGATCCCAATAAATTGTCGTTAGGACTTTTCAATCCGTAAAAAGGTTGAAAATTCGATCATAAGAGTAGCTTTTCAATTATCGTGTTTTATATCAAAATTTATGATTTTTACGATACAGTTTATAAGAAAAATTATATATGTAATTATTTTACATAAAAAAGGTTATATACAAAAAAATCAAAAGTCAAATATTTATTCCATAAAAGTCAAAATTTCATAAATATTATGTTTACCAGTAAAATTTAAGTAAAATTTACTTCGAAAATTTAATTATACGGAGTGAAACAGATCGAACTGACAATTTATATAACTTATGATCTAAATAACATTTTATACTTTGTTTTAATCAATTTTTACAATATAGGACTATATTTGAAATATAGTTTATGTTATATTTCACAATTACAAAAAAATATATTTTTTTATTAAATTTTTTTTTTAGCTTCGATGCGAAGCGGAGAAGGTATTATTTTACAATGATGTGTTTTTTTTTTTTTTTTTTTTTTTTTTTTTTTTTTTTTTTTTTTTTTTTTTTTTTTTTTTTTTTTTTTTTTTTTTTTTTTTTTTTTTTTTTT